TGACCAGCTGCCACTGACCTCTGACCCCTCTGCTCAATCGTTAATTGTTTAAATCATTGAGAGTAACAAAGATTATTAAAACATACAATACGATACGATACATCACAATACGACGCAATCTGATACGATATACTTTATTGTCCAAAACATTTATGATACATACATCATAAAGAATAAAATACATTAAGACATGACTGGAATCAGTTTGCACATACACAATACACAGACTACTGACAATGGCAAGCTAATGCGCAAGCCTTATGACCAACATTTACATCTATTACATTAAGTGTCTAATTTCTCTCTTGTTGGAAAATAGTTGATATACATGATGTAAAGATGGAAGCATCTTTGCTGAAAACAGTAGCAAACATTGAAATTACAGGTCAAAACATCTGCTTCTACATTTGCTGTCTTCTTGCATATTCCTTTGCATTGGAATACTCTTATTAAATGAAATTGTGTGTTTCTGGACAGCATGGATCAAAGAGAACACTAGCTGATGAACCAATTCATGAATTAGCCATTATCTCTCGTGAATTGGTTGGATGGCTTAACTGATTTAAGCTTTAAATGTCCTGTTCTGTTCACTGGCAGACATTCTTAAAGAGTAGACTTTAAACAGTGGAGTAAAGTAAGTACTATACTTTAGTACAATTTCTGCTACTTTTATCTTCATCTCTTATACAATTAGGTAATGTAAAGGTAAATGGTGTACTTTTTCTCGACATGAATTAATGTAATACCTTTAGTCACTTTACAGATTTGGATGAATGATGTGAAATCTAATCAAGTCTTAAATCAGACTTTAGTTCCACCTGGAGTAAATTCACAAGCTACCCTGCAGTATACAAAGTCATTCAAACTAGCTGCACCTTTGAGAATACTTTAATGATCAACAATTATAAAACATATTGTAGCGACCCTGATAGGATGCTGAGGGTGTCACTCAGACATCCCCCGTCTCTCTGTCAATCACAGATCTGCACAGTGCAGATCTGTGATTGACAGAGAGACGGGGGATGTCTGAGTGACACCCTCAGCATCCTATCAGGGTCGCTACAATATGTTTTATAATTGTTGATCATTNTACAGCTCTATGATTGGCAGAGAGACGGGGGATACCTGAGTGACACCCTCAGCATCCTATCAGAGTCGCTACAATATTTTATAATAAAAAGTTAACATAAACTATAGATGGATATTTTCCATGACTGACACTGTAT